AAAAAACTAGTAAACAATACATTATATCTAGTGTTACTTAGACATTTATTCAAAACAGTGTAAAAAAATTATGATATAAAAGCATTTTGACTAACTATTTTTATTTACAAGAATTCTAGGTAAGCAATTGATTATTGCAAATAAAAAACTAAAAATTTTTAATTTTTGTGTGCAACAGTTTGATCTAAAATTTCAAAATGTTTCTGCAATTTTTTCCGTTTAACTTAATCAGCTCGTTTGTAATATTTTGGATATTACTTTTTGGATTGTTTCCACTGATTTATTGGTAAATAATTTAAATTTAAAGGGATTTACAATTAATGTTTTAAAACAGGTATGGATCTCGCAATCACGATTTTTGGAAACGTCGAGGCATTAAAGGTCCCCCTGTCATACCTTTTTTAGGGAACTTTTTTAGTTTGTCAATACCAGCACCTCTACTTTACAAAAAATATGTCAAAGAATACGGCAAAGCATTTGGGTAACACTGCATCAACATAGCAGTTTTTTTGTTAAAAACTATATTTTTGCCTAGTAGTTTGTTTCAAGGGCAAACACCGGTACTTGTTCTGACCGATCCAGTGATCATTAAGCGAATTCTCGTCAGTGATTTTGCCAAGTTTCGAAACCGCATGATGCAGCCGTCTGGTGTTCGCCACAGGATTACATCGCAGAACTTGGTGGCGGCTCGTAATGAGGAGTGGAAACGCATTCGCTCAATACTGACGCCCATGTTTACCAGTTTGAAGTTGAAGAAAATGGAGGATCTAATGCAGCACTGCATCAACTCTATGATGGCGTCATTCGAGAAGAAGGCCCGCTCTGGAGAAGCATTTGAGGCTCGAGAACCGATGGGCAGCTACACCATGGACGTCATTGCGAAGTGCGCCTTTGCCACTGACACCAACGCTCATGAACAGAAGAATAACGCCTTTCTTAGCAATGCTAAGAACATTCTCTCTTTCAACGTCTTTCGCATCATGATCATCTTCCTTTTGCCGCGCTTTCTGACGCAGTTTCTTTTCAATCTCAAAGTGAAACCAATCTACGTGAGAGAGGTTGACTTTTTCCTGAACCTGTCTTTGCATCTGATCGACGAACGACGGAATCCTTTAAAGGGTCGTGAGCACAGTGACATGCTGCAACTTATGGTCAATGCTGAGTTTAGTGAAAATAGCTTGAAACGGGCTTACCAAGAAGACTTTAAGGCGGCCGACCACGCGCATCACCTCAACAATGGTCAGTCAATTATAATCCATTTTGCCGTGTTAACAGTTTTTTCAGCCAAACTTTGCATTGAACACTTCAGATGGCGCCTGCTGACTGGTTTTGCTGTGTAATAGTTTTTTGTTTAATATATTTTTTCCTTTCAGGCACTGACGAGCTGGAACGTGAACAACAGGAACTAAAAAACATCATCGGTTCCAAGTTTCTCTCAACGGAAGAGATAATGGCGCAGGCTTTGGTTTTCTTTCTGGTAAACAAAAACAACATGTTTTTCACTATGAATCTGAGCGATTAGTATGAGTTTTAAAAAATAATTTAAACCTGGTATTCACGNTCAGGCACTGACGAGCTGGAACGTGAACAACAGGAACTAAAAAACATCATCGGTTCCAAGTTTCTCTCAACGGAAGAGATAATGGCGCAGGCTTTGGTTTTCTTTCTGGTAAACAAAAACAACATGTTTTTCACTATGAATCTGAGCGATTAGTATGAGTTTTAAAAAATAATTTAAACCTGGTATTCACGCACTACAGGCAGGCTACGAGACGACCAGTTCGCTGCTCTCCTTTTGCCTCTATGAACTGGCGCTGAACCTCGCCATTCAACAGCGACTCTACGAGGAGATTCAAAGCGCAAAGTCGGAGGACCCGAAGCTGAGCTACGGGACACTGGCCACCCGATGCGCCTACCTCGATGCGGTCATCTCTGAGACGCTGCGAAAGTACCCACCGGCGTTGCTACTGAACCGGGAGCTCTCCGCCGAGGAGTACCACGTTGCCGAGTACGGCATCACGCTGGAGCGAGGGCAGCCGGTCAACATTCCCGTGTACTCGCTGCATCACATGGAGCAGTTCTGGCCAGAGCCGGAGCGCTTCAATCCGGAGCGATTTATGGGCGAGAACAGAGACAGAGTGGTGCCCTTCACTTACGTGCCTTTCGGCGCGGGTCCTCGCAGTTGTATAGGTAACTTTAATTTGATTACAGAATTACAGAACCTATGTTCAAAGTTTAGGTTCTGTCTGCTAATGGTAGTCACAATCTACTGGGCGCACTTTACAAACTAACAGCATTTGCATTTGAAACTTCTTAATCTTGTTAACGTTATTACTAATACTGCCTCACATCCACACAGGCATGAGGTTCGCCCTGACGGAGGCAAAGATGGGACTGGCGCACATTCTCGATCGTTACCAAATTGTACGCGCTCCTGAAACGACCGACAAGCTGGACATTAAGTCGTCGCTCATTTTGCTGAAAACGTCGCCTATTAAAGTGGCGGTTAAAAAGAGAGAGACTATTGTTCATTTCTAATGACAACAAATTGAAACATCACTATTTTGATTGTAATGCTTAATTTATAGAAAAAAGTTTCTTAATTAGATTGTACTTTTGTATAAATAAAATACTTTTAAAAGAGTTAAAACAAAGTTTTTTAGTGTACACATGTTATTTGCCGGAAAAGTACTAATGTTGTTAGTTTTATCTGCAAAAAACTATTTTTTACTTAAGAAAATTCAATACGTTTCTAAATCTAATCTTTTTCCACTCCAGAGAACGCTTGCCTATGTGTGGTGTGGCCACTGTTTCTTTTATCACTGGCTGTTTTTCTCCTTATCGCTTAGTAAATGAACAAATGTTCACATTGCATCCTTACTGTTTGCACTGCAACAGTGACTCAGCACTATTGTTGTGTTTTGGTGTTTGCAAGCAAAGAAGAAGAGGAAGACGGAGATTTACCATGGGAACAATGACCAAATTTCTGTTAATTTGCACCATTTTGACAACTATCTTTGCACGCAGTACCTT